GACGCGCGTGCACGCTCATTCTCAATTACCATAAATCCCGCCCATTAAATCCGACTGGCAACTATATATGGGCATCATATTATGACACCAAAGGAAGGATTTCAACATGTCTTCTCAAAAGCGAATGATTGAAAAAGAACAATTTCTCAGATGCAGAAATCGAAGTTTTATTATCAGAACACCACATTTTATTTTCAAGCATAGGCTACATAGTGGCGTATCAGGTCCTAAAAAAAGGAAGTTTGGCACCATATTACAGATGCAGTTAATGGAGTTTCATCTGTTAATCAAACAGTCCCAGAAGTGATAAGAAAAACTGTATGTAATTATATGTAATTTTTTTCAAAATGCTGTGTAAATATGTACCCGATTAAGGTGAATTAAAATGCAGCCTTATCCAACGTTCGGATGTTAAACTCACTATTTACGCGTGGCTGGGAGCAGGTGTAGATTTCTTTCGTACCAACTAACATTTGGAAAATACGAACATTTTAATGAATCCGAAAATTTACGCCAGAACCACTTTACACACGATTTACACAAAAATTCGTTCTGCTCGTGTTTCATGAATGAGACCCATTCAGCGTAAAGTTATACCACATGAGTTGTGTGATAGAAATATTTTATGTAATGGGTATTTTCAACATTAAAGGGTTTGTTCAATCTGTCAGTAATTACTCACCCTCATGTTGTTCCAACCCCGTTAGACTTTCGTTCATCTTCGGAACACAAATTAAGATACTTTTGATGAAATCTGAGAGCTGGCTCACTCCTTCATAGGCTGCAAGGTAATTGCATCTGCCGGCCCAGAAAAGTTAGTAAAGACATCGTTAGTCCAAGTGACTACAGTGGCTCAACCTTAAGTTTATCAAGCGACGGGAATGCTTTTTGTGCCAAAAAAACCCCAAAATAAAGACTTTATTCAACTATTCATTATCTTCTGTGTGGGCCTCTGACGTGAGTTCACGAGAGCGCCACGACGCATGCGCGAGAACTGAGAAGATAGTAGCTTCTTGACGCGACGCCGTCAACATACTTAAGGGAAGTATTGTATTGTAAGTATTCAGGGAATTACCTTGATACTGTAGTAAGAAGTCAGATTTAGTAGGTTATATTTCGTATTGAGAATTTCCACGACAGTTGCATCATAATTCAGCCATAACAATAAGTTATGTTTGCACGGTGGTCATTTCTTATTTTGGTGAAATTCATGTGAAAGGGAACCAGTAATTTTACCTTCTCAGAATGGTGAGATATAAACTCGGAATTGCAATAAAAAAGGGTAAAAGGAATTGTAAGATAAAAAGCTGCTTCCACTGCTACTGCAGAACTGTCACTGCCACCAGGCAGGCTCCGCCCGCAAAATACGTCTTCGCTGAGTTGACTCAGAAAATGTAATCCTTCGCTAAGAAAAAAAAAAAACTGCTACCACTGTGGTCTGTAAGATTTTAAAATGTTTTTTGAAAAAAGTCTCGTATGCTCATAAAAATCTTTACTGGGGATTATTATGAGATTAATAGGGATTAGGGTTGTCACAGCACCAAAGCACCAGTAGTCTGTACCGTCAGTAAAATTTCGGTTCTCTGAAAGAGCAGAGCAGAAACTGTAAACTTTAAGTATTTGTCCCATTTTTGTCTCATCCATTTCTGATTCAGTTGCACATTTAAATATGGTTGTCAATCCAGAAACTTTGCAGTGTATTTAGCAGCATGAAAAACTAAACTTTTCAGATTGTGAAGAAAGCATGAGAAGAGCCATCCCTTTATAATAACTAAGGCTGTCAATCTCTAAATCGCAATCAGAATTTAGCATGCAAAAACTCCCGTTATAATAAAAAAATTAATTGTACAATGTATTTATATCATGGTTACAATTAAAGGATTAGCAAGCACGCGGCTCATGTTGAACAAAGCAAAACCTTGTGCGATTTCAGCGGTGCTAACTTACTGATTAGCACCTCTGATAGGCCATTGCATTCCGCTCACATGCTCAACAGATTTGATTGTGATTGGATACAATGCTCAACGCTTGTAAAAAAAACATGCTGTAAGTGTAAATAGAAACCTTTGACGCTCAGAGAGTACTGCTCACACAAACACGAACGAGAACGTTTGAAAGCAGCGTCTATCAGCGGGTACCGAACATACCCGGTACTCAGTCGGGACTACCAGTACTGCAGAACTTTTTTTTGGACTAACTGGTACTGGTGGTGGTAGTACCGGTACGTTTGACAACCCTAATAAGGATTATTTAATAAGAATGTCATTTACTTTTGATCAATTTGATGCTTCCTTACTGAATAAAAGTACTGTATTAATTTCTTTAAAAAAAATCTTACTGACCTCAAACATTTGAAAGGTAGTGTGTAATTGAAAGAATAACCTCATTATGATTTAACCTCAATCTTTTTGTTGAAAATCATCATCACCCAGTTCCGTTCTTCACTCCATAAACCTGTCTTTTCATATTGTAAGTGGAAGAGGCAGCGTGTCTCTGTTAAATGTGTTTGTTGTGCTGTGAGTGATTCGGATGAGTGACTACAAAAAAAAAAAAAAGCCTCAGGGAGAGAGACATTTAATTAGCATCAACAAACTTCTCAACACATTCACTGTCATCTGTTTTTCCATGTATTTCCATATTATCATTATTCATTTGGCCTAACTACTTTTTAGACATAACCTAAACATGCATAAAGTCTGAATGAGGCTTGAGAATGAAAGTGCTGAGATTGGTGGTTACTATACGTGAAATGTCAATGCTAATGAGTGTCTGAGGTAATTATCAATCCTTCTGCCACAGTTTATGGAGGCGGGAGATGACTATTCTGATGATGCCCATTTCTATTCTTGATTGCTGTTAACACATTATGATAAAAGTGTAGTTCATTGTGATTAGTTTCTAGGCTGTGTAGTGGACTATAACAGGCAGATGGATGGCTGGTGGGTTGTTGGTTGTGTATGAATCAGCCGTCCACCGCTTCATCCCCAGACTGCAGCCATGCTACCTGCTGTTTTGCCTACGCCACAGCCCAAAGCCCTCCATCCACCACTGATGTAGAGTATTTGCATCCTCATCCATTTTCTCTCCCCCCACCTCTCAGGATTCAATTGGGTTGTTCAATCCCAGCACACTGTAAAAGTTTGCTGTATTCTTTGCAGCTAAAGACTCAGAATGGGAAGTTGCACCACTAATAATTGCGTATAGAGGAGAACTGGCCCCCCGACAGAAATGGGTTCATTGACACTATTATACAAGAACTGAACTGAGCTGGACGATGACTTCTCGGTTTACTCCAGAGCGGCTATATATATATTTATATATATATATATATATATAAACTAAATTAATAACTTTTTTTTAAAGAAAAATGAAACATCACTGAACTAGTGAACTTACTTAAGCTGGACTGTGATGCTATTTTCTTCTGGAAACAAACTTGTTTGCATTATGTTCCTGTTATCTCTGTAAAGCTGCTGTGAAACAATCTGTATTGTAAAAAGCGCTATACAAGTAAATGTGGCTTGACTTGACTACAGCTATTTTTGTCAAACTAATTTTGTATGTGCATTAACGCCTAGTTGATTTGCATAATTGCTTTAGTGAACTGGATACTAAAACGGCAAATAAATATCACTATCCCCACTGCGCCTGGTTCATTCTTAGTGAATGCTGAAAGACTTGCAACCTTATTTTCAGGTTTTGGTGATAGATATAATCCTTCACTATGTCTCATATTCTTTATCTAGGGCAAAGTCACCACCAGCGATTAATTTAATGACGGGATGCATTATATAGTAACAGTCATATCAGCATCAGCTGAAAACATAATATAAAAGTAATATAGGTTAATAAAATATACATTACTTATATATTGTTAAACACTAATAAAATGACATTCAGAGCTTGTAAGATTTATTTATATTTTATATCAGTGGCACACATGAATTGTGTTTCTTTAGTCTGTTATATTTGTGTTATATTGCATGTCCATTTTACTCTTAGAAATGAAAGCTGCATGGTGTTTTTGAACAAAGTCTATTATGCTCACCAAGACTGCATTTATATAATAAAATACTGTTTATTTTAATATATTTTAAAATGTAATTTATTTCTGTGATGGCAAAGCCAATTTTTCAACAGCCATTCAGTGTCACACACAATCCTTTAGAAATCATTCTAATATGCTTATTTGATGCTCAACATTTCTTAGTATAAACCATGCTGAAAGTATTTTAGTATTTTTGTATTTTTGTGGAAACCATGATCCATTCAAATTTTTGGAGTAAGTAAATTAATAATTTTATTCAGCAGTGATGCATTAAATTGACCAAAAGTGACAGTAAAGACATTTATAATGTTACATTTTTTTTATTTCAAATATATGCTGTTCTTTTGAACTTTCTAATCATCAAAAAAAATCTGAAAAAAGTATCATGATTTCCGCAAAAATATCAAGCAGAAAACCTGTTTTCAACATTGACAATAAGAACCATTAATAATACTTAAGTCCCTATTAAAATATGATAATAATTGAGTACCAAATCAGCTTATCAGAATGATAGTTCATAGGCCTACATTTGTAAAATGGTTGTGAAATAAGGATGATTGTATTCTGCGGTATGTGATGTTTGGTGCCATTTGAAGCATGTATGATCCTCATTAAGCTATATTTATATAAAGTGATGGCCTGAAGATAACAGCATCCTGTTTGTGAAACTTTTCCTTTTAGTCATGAATTATCCAGTCATAAACTTAAAACAGTTCTCTGGCACTGACTCTCTCTGATTGCAGGTCTATCATTGTGTTCAATTATAAATGCCCTCCTATGAAACTGCATAAATAATGCAGACATACATAATGTCTTGAGATTAAGGACAAGTCTCATTCTTTAGTTGTCTCAGGTTAACCGCCTCGGGGTTCACTGGCTCTTTAGTCTCCAGACAGTTGGTGACGCAAATATTGACTCATCCTTTTTGTCCCCTTTTCTCTTTTACGTTTAGATTCAAAACTTTTAGACTGAAGCAGAGCCTGGATTACTGGAAAGTATTGTACCTGCAACATAAAGTGGGTGTGTAAGGGGTAATCCTATTGGTCACTGTAGCTGGCGGCAAGATGGCGGGAAGAGAGCGCAGTCCACGCCACAGGCCATGGTCTGTGTACCGAGCCAACACCTTTGACTTGTCATCTGAGATGATGGGTTTAGCGCTAGCAGGTGAGCAACTATAAGCTTTTTGGCACTTAACCTTTTGAGGTTTTGGACATTTAACTTTTGCCTGTTCAGCAGGTTTATACCATAGTGATCTAAGAAATGTCAGTAACACATAATCATACGTTTTCCACCAAGAAAAGTAGTTACACTAACACTACAAAAGGACAGTTTAGAATATTTTTTTATGTAGGTTTTAAGCTAAATGCAAGCATTATATTTCTGCTTTTAAAATCTCTGCTTTTTTGTTTCACAAACTGAGAGATGAGATATGTGTTACGTAACGTGGTGCTAAGAAATACTCACGATGAGGAATAACTCGATTAAAGAAAGATTTTAATCATCAAATACTTAGGAAAACCACATAACACCAAACGTTAGCGAGAACCGACAGAGACTGAGGGAGAACACAACATGAGACAAACAAAGGATCTTAACAAAATAATTTTAAGACACACAGCTGAACCAAATAAACTAAGGAAGTCGGTAACCATGGAAACAAAGGAGTGGCGCAAAACTGAACAAATGCAAACAGAAAGTCCAAACACAAACTGGAATGCAACAATATGATCTTCTGAGGTAATAATTAGCATGCCACAGATGCTCTAAAGACCTTAAAGAGACAGTCCACCCAAAAATTAAAATTCTTTCATCATTTACTGACCTTCAAGTTGTTCCAAACCTGTATGACGTTTTTTTCTTCTGTGGAACACAAACACAAAAACAAGATATTTTGAAGAATGTCCGCAACTAAACTGGTTTGGTTACCATTGACTTCATTTTAAAATCTCTGCTGTTTTTTTTTTTTGGATAAAAGAAATAATTTGCAAACAAACTAATAAAAAGACTATGGAAATGCTGTGTTGTGTTCCACATGTGTTTAGGAAACAGTCAGGATCCTGATGAGCCAGTGCTTGAGTTCAGTCTGGGTGAGTAACAGCAGTTCAGTCAATCATAAAGTGATTACGGTGCAGCGTTACCCAAGTGAAGTACTTTTCAGTAATACAAGCCGCCAAAGCAGATATCCACTCATTCAGGAGATGTGTCTACACCTGCATCCAGTGAAGAGTCATATTCACTCATATTCTTCCTCCTTTTTTGGCTTCCTACGCTAATATTCATCCTACTGTATTTGTGTAGGAAATAAACTGTTTATCAGTCCTACCCTCTTAGTTCACATGCAATAAACATTCATGCAGCTTAAATCAAATATTTCCATTGTGCTAGAAGCACTGGGTTTTGTCTGATTTTAGCTGTACTCTCTGACAGTTATATTACTTTTTCCATGATGACACATCATGTAGATTACAATTAGCCACCTAGAGTTATTTGATATTTTTATGCGCCGTATTTCACTGTTCATCGCAAGACTCGTTTCAGATAGTTGCTTACACAGTCTGGATTGTAATGCTACTGTGAGTACAATCACAACTAAATCACTTCACTTCTTTCATGATTAACTTACTGAATTGTTCTCCTTCTTTTCCCAGCATGCAGTGAGCTAATCACTCCATCACTGGACCGTAAACCCAGTAGCTTTGTAGCAGTGAGTTGCACCACCCCTCCACAGGCATTTTGGACCAAACATGCACAGACTGAAATTATAGAGGTGAGGATGGATTCATGGAGACGTGCTAGAAAAACTACCATGATATACCTTGTTTTTATTCTTTGGATTTCATTTCAAACAATATGACATGGTATAGCCATCTGATCTGGTCGATTTACATGTTAGTCAGATGGCTTATTTCCATCCAAGTGAGTGGTTCTCAACCAGAATATGCTGAAATACATTTTAAATGCAATCTTACTAGACATTATTGGGAGATGCATCTGAAATTGCATAATGTATAGTAGGTACTACATTTGATTTAAACCTTGCTTCGTGACTGTTAAAATAGTATGTTCTGTATAGTATGAATGTGTGTAGTATGAATGAAATTCAGACATACTACATCCATCATGTTGTCACTGTCATGTGACCTGCAGCATCAGTTGCGTTATTCACAAATCCTCTTGGGAAATTAAAGGGGTCATATAATGGTACATGCACTTTTACAAGTTGATTGTACTGAAATGTGTGTTGGCAGTGCCTGTACACAACCATCATATAATGATAAAAATCCATCCAGTGTTTTTGTTTTAATCTCCTTATATGTTTTCCCCTGCCTCAAATTGAGCCGTTCGTTTTTGTGACGTCAATAAAACGGACGCCCCTCCCACGATTGTTGATTGACAGCAGCGTTTCAACACAGACCTGCCCTCGCTCGTGAGCGAGCTGTCAATCATAGTCCGCGTTGATACTGGAGCACTGTCTATGAGCAGAATGGCGTCTAAGCGATTGTGGTGTTCTGTTCTTGGGTGTAATAACGAACACAGCAGTCATTTTAATGTTCCTAAATCCGAACCGCTGAAGACGCAGTGGCTGAGTTTGTTTTTGAAGGGAATATTCCCCACGAGCAACGTCAATGCTTTCATGTTTGCGCGAATCATTTCACACACCAGACTGCTTTATAAACGAGGAGGGTCATAAAGCTGGTTTTGCTAAGAAGCTGCTCCTGAAAAAAGGATCGGTACCAGATATTCGTGTTCCTGCTGAACCTCTAGAACAACTGAAGTGAGTGTAACGTTTTATTAACCTTTATATTAATATTTATATTAATCTTTGCAAATCGCTTGCACGCTTCACGATGAATGCGGCTAAGGTTTACACTTAGGGTACATTACGGCATGTTTTCTATGTACGACGTTCTCAATATAATTCATAATCCCACGTTTATAATGAACAACGCGTTATGGTTATTGTGTTACAAACGGTGTACGCACAGAACAGAGAGGCGGGGTGAGCAAAGCTCATTATCATTTAAAGGCATATGCACTGAAACGGCGTGCTGAAAACAGAGCTGTTTTTGAACAGGTAAAATAAGTGTTTTCTTACAATACTAATGAGAATTTTTAATTAAAGTATATTACAAACTTTTAATTTAGACCCTAAAGAATCATATTAGCTTGTACAAAAATGGCATTATATGACCCCTTTAAAGTATGCATCGGTTGCGCACTACAGAATCTCCTCGGTCATCCGGGTACCTTTTGTCTACTTTTTTTTATGAATACAATGAATTCCGACATATTAATCTGCTCACATACTGTTTTTCGCCTACTATATACTATGGAAGTAGCCGTACACGGATGCAGGGATAGAGTGACAACTGATATTTATATGCAATTTATTTATTTAAGTAGTTTGCTATACTGTTATAAATGTCATTGATTTACATTACAAAGCTATCAGAATTGCATCTTACTTTTTGGTCTTATAAATATCAGCAACTTCTGCCGAACTGTATATTTTTGCACAGTTTGGCCCTCTAAATAAAACTGAGGTGTTTATTCCTCCTCAAGTATGAGCTCCATATTCTCCTATATCATACTATATGAGCCATAAAAGTCATGTATCAAATATGATACTCAACAAAAAATTCTTTTTTTTGTGTGTGTGTAAAGGTTAAAAAAACTTTTCTATTTAAAACAATTTCTGACTATAATTTCTTATGTCAGGCTTCACAGGGTTAAGATAATCTAATGGTTATGGTTACGCTTTATTTTAAGGTGTCCTTCAGTGCAATTATGCATTGAAGTACTAAGTGATAATAGCTAACTGATGTACAGTACATGTAGTTACTTTAGGGTTAGGGTTTGGTTTATGGTTAGTTGTGTAATTATGCATAATTTATGTATTACTATAGTAACTACATTAAACGTGTAACATGAACACTGTAAAATAAAGTGTTACCAATATAATTTGCGAACAAACTGAAAGATTATGTGTATTTTCAGTCATCTTTAGTCAAATGCATTTACATTGTGACTGTGCCTCAGAATGCAATCAACTCTATCTGTGTCTGTAAAGGTGTGAACCAAATGGCCCAAAGAAACGATAGGTGTGAATGACAAGGAAACAGCATTACTCAGAGAAGATTGCAGGGTAGATCAATTTCATGTGGCAGTTCACTATTGTTTGTAGCCCTTTTGTATTCATTTATAAAATTCTGTCTCACAGACATGACTTTGGGTTAAGATTCTTTGTAGGACGACATGCTAAGATCGCTGCTGAAGAACTGCTACACTACAAACCTTCAATAAATTCTTCTCCCCTCAAAAATGAGAGAAATCTAATACATTGGCAAGCCCCCAAACAAACGCTCAGCTAAATATAGAGAAATCGAACAAAACCAATAAAAAGCTTGGGCATTCATGGAAATGCTGTGTTTCACATGTGTTTAGGAAACAGTTTTATCTCAAGGATATTTGCTGCTAAAATCCATCTTTGGTGTGAAATTGGCCATATAAAGCCTGAAAGTATCAGATTTAGCATTTCCTACTTAATTTTTTCTCAGGGCACCAGCAATCCAATCTTCTTGAGCAGCATTGCCTTCTTCCAGGACTCTCTGATTACCCAGCAGACTCAAATCAAACTGTCTGTCTACGATGTGAAGGACCGCTCACAGGGGACTGTAAGACAGAAAAAAACACATTATTCTTAACATTTTGCATCTGTTTTGCTCAGTCTCATAAACTCGACTCTCTTTTTTTATTAGATGTACCTGCTCGGTTCGGCTATGTTTACAGTAAAAGAGCTGCTTCAAGACAAACACCACAGGCTACACCTCACACTGCGGTATGTGAGATAAATATAGGTACAAAGCCAATATGTAATCCCACAGCATAACATTAGTAGGAATTCCAGGAAATGTAGTCTGACAGGTATTTGTGTGCGTTTCGCTGGCTCAGATCAGCAGAGAGTGAGCGGATGGGTAACATCACCATCATCGCATGGCAGATGGAGGAGAGGAGAGACCAGCGAGCTCCTCTGGCACGTTCTGACACAGTGAACGGCAGGGTGAGTGCTTGAGTACGCTGTTCTTCACACTATACATTAGTGGTCTATTGATGTGAGTTTTCAAGTGGCCGGTGTCCAAAATCCATATTTAAAGAGCAGGGTGGCTGATGGCTGATTTGATAATTATATATGTCCATTGGGAATACTTTCAGTAGTTTTTTTTAGCAGTGTCATGAAGGTTATTTAAAACTATTATAAAATTATTTTAATTAAAATAAAACTGAAATAAAATACACATATTAGATAAAAACTGAAACGAAAAATAGAAAAGTTGAAATAAAATAATATATTAATACTAAAATTGCTCAAATTAAAAATAAATAAATAAAAGTTAAAAAAGGGAAAAAGCACCTAACAAAATTACTAAAACTAAAATTAAAGCTAACAAAAAAAAAACAAAGCTAATTGAAAATATTAATAAATGTAATAGTACTGTATATAAATATTACTACAAAAAAAAAAAAACACTGGGGACTACACTACTGTTAAAGGGATATTTCACCCAAAACATTTTTATTCTGTCATTAATTGCTCACTCACATGTCGTTCCCAACCTGTAAGACTTTCGTTCATCTTCGGAACACAAATTAAGATCTTTTTAATGCAATCTGAGAGCTTTCTGTCCTTCCGTTGACAGCTGCGCAACTACCACTTTATATAAAAGCCTAAATTCAATCTGTTCATCATATAACGCGATCGAGTCTCTTCAGAAAATTTGGACTAAACCGCTCAATATGGATTATTTTTATGATCTTTTTATAAACTTTTTGAAGCGTCAAAGTGGTAGTTGCTTAGCTGTCAATGGAGGGACAGAAATCTCTCAGATTTCATCAAAAACATCTTCATTTGTGTTCTGAAGATGAACGAAAGTCTTACGGGTTTGGAACGATATAACGGTGAGTAATTAATGATGGAATTTTCATTTTTGGGTGAATAACCCTTTAAGGAGCCATAAGTCTCTATTTAATTCTGTAAATCTGAGTCTGTTGACAGATCTTCAATATAATTATTTTCATGTTTCTTACAGATGGTGTTACCGGTGGATGAAAGTCTGACCGAATCTATGGGAGTAAAAGCTAAATCTGCCTCCTTATGTAAAGACAGTCTTTTAAAGGCAGGTGAGTGTCTATATACTGTACGAAATCTGTGCATTTTTATTTCTTAATTATTACAGCCACATTCCATCTGGAGGCACATTTATTTCTAAATGTGCCCCTCATAACTGAATCAATGGGCCATAGCGTTCACTTCCTGCTGTGAAGATTCATGAATGCCACAGGCATGACAGCTGTGAAAGAGGTTCGGAAAACGGTTCCTGCATCCATTAAAGAAACACGAGCAGTTATTTATAGAGTGTTAAATATTGGATGTGAATAGATTTATAAAGACTACAATTAGATTAGGATTCCCTTAATAGAAAGAAAGAAAAGAAAGAAATACTAGAAAGAAATACTAGTGCTTTGAGGAAAATTTTGTTTTATTTAAGTTTAGGTTTTAGGTTTCAGTTCTGCATAATGCTGCTTTATTTAGCATATATCTTGTTTTCAGTTACTGCACGCAAGAATCAACAGTAGTCATGTTGCAGTGTAAATGAATCATAACTATGAATGATTAGATACAATCTACCATTCAAAAGTTTTGGGATTTTTATGATTTTAATGAAGATTTTTTTTTTTTTAAATTGAAAGAAGTCTCTTATGCTCACCAAGGGTGGATTTATTTGATCAAAAATAAAGTAAAGACATTGCTTAATGTTGTGAAATATTTTTTCCATATAAAATAAGTGTTATCTATTTTCATATATTTTAAAATGTAATTTATTCCTGTGATGGCAAAGCTGAATTTTCAGCATAAATTACTCCAGTCTTCAGTGTCACATGATCCTTCAGAAATCATTCTAACATGCTGATTTGATGCTCAAGAAACATTTCTTATGTATTATCAATGTTGCTTAACATGTTTGTGGAAACAGCATTTATTTAAAATAGAAATGATGATATAAAAGTCTCTACTATCACTTTTGATCAATTTAATGCGTCCTTGCTGAATACAACTATTAATTTATTTCCCAAAAAAAAAAAAAAAAATTGTACTGACCCCAAACTTTTGAATGGAATATGCAAGACAATATCACTTACAATTCAATATGAAAATATAATGTCAGAACTTCACCAATGCCGATTACAGAATTTTATTTCAAACGAATGATTTCAAGTACTAGTACACAATGCTTCAGTTACAATGATTCAGTCAATGCAGTGAAATGCGGGACAAAAATGTATAGCTTTTCTTTTCCATGTATTTCACAGTTGCATTCAGAGATTCACTGACTGATTGATTGATTGATTGCAGTGTTTGGAGGCACTATTTCACGGATGTACCGATTTCCCACCACGGATGGAAATCACCTGCGTGTGCTGGAGCAGATGGCAGAGAGCGTGCTTTCCCTGCACATACCAAGACAGTTCGCCAAACTACTGCTGGAGGAAGATGCTGCCAGGTAAACCCAATTCACAGTTAGTGCTCATGCTCAGAAAGAATCTTTTGAGTTATTTTGAAGAATCAGTCAAGACTTTCATTTGTGCAGCGCATTGCAGTAATGTGGCATTAGCATGTCATTAGCTTCTAACTAACAATACTCAAACACTATGAATGTAAATCAGAATTCTAAATGAGATTATATTATGTTGTTGCACATTTCTATCTGCACGCAGGGTTTGTGAGCTAGAAGAGTTGGGCGAGTTGTCCCCCTGCTGGGAGAATCTGAGGAGACAGATCATCACTCAGTACCAGACTATCATCCTCACCTATCAGGAGACTCTCAGTAATCTACATGAATACAAGGGTAAGTTTGAAGATTTCACGTGTAAAGCCGCTGTCACAGAGGAAGAGATAATTAAAGGTGGTTTCAACATTGTATTACTTATCTGATTCCTCTCACCTACTATCCTGCAGGTCCTTCCTTCAAATCTAGCTCTCTAAAAGGAGAGAAAAAACTAGAGTTCATGCCTACAAACCTCCACGTTCAGAGGATGAGAGTGCATGGCGAGTCTGGCTACGGTGAGATGGTCAAGATGTGCATTTCATAACAGACATTCTTCAGTGGAGGCTGGTCTTTACATAACGCACATCTCTGAACAGATCGCACATATGACGTGGTGACCACAGGGGCTCCTGCGGCGCATCATCAGGGCTTTAAGGGCAGTGGACTGAGGAAACTCATTCAGAAATTTGAGGAAGCCAAAAAGCAGTAAGACCTTTTATTAAAAAGTCTTGGTGAAAAATATGAATCAATTTTTTTGTGTTGCTCTGCTAGGTTTTTGGCTTTTTTTATTGTGTTAAGACCTGTTCACACCAACGATGATAACAATAAAGATATAGTTCTAAAAATCTTTCTTAACCCTTAAATGCATGAATGTTTCGCCAATCATTATTACATGTTTGGGTCTTTAGCGACCCGGATCTATATCTAACACGGATGAATGAATCTCTACCTGTCGCGAACTCGCGATAATATAAAACTCTCCTGATATTAGAGTAACAATTCCAGAAGAATAAAATAGGGTTCAGTTTGAGCAGATGTTTTATACCATCATCACTGAGGACGTCAGAGCTCATTTCCCAGTACATTCAGCATCTGGTTCATATTCACGATCTCAAACATATTCTCAAAACTATAATTTTCAACATCTTCAAAATCTATATTTTGATCGCTGACAGCTTCTTCACCAGATCCACCATCAAGTGACAGTGACACTAATATTTGATTGTGTTCAGTGCTTGCTCTGCTGTAAATCTCTGAGCCATTTCAAGTTTTGCTGATGATACTTCCTATTCTTTTGTTTTCTACCTGCGGTAACTATGAGTGAAACGACACTTCAGATGAAATGCACATATTCAGTCATTAAAGATTCAATTATTGTTCTGTAGAAAAAAATATACTTGCACTGTTACACACCACCGGCTCTTTAGCAACCCTATACAATTTTTTTTTTAATGGGAAACAGGCATTTTTTTATAGTAAAAAAAATCTTGTTATATTGTTTATAATCACTTGATTGGGGAATACTAAAAAGGTTGATGTCTAACAGGGTTAATAAAAAAAAGCAGACTCCACACCACAACTTTAATGATAACAGCACAGAGAAACAATATCATTGGAATTATTCAAATGAACTCAGCATTTAAAGCAGCAGACGACAAAATTGCAGTGCCTGCTTAGACTCAACAGTCCTATATCATTCATTGGTCTGGATGCTAATATTGTTATCATTACAGTTCTTGTTCTTGGTGTGAAAGGGCCTTAATACTTGTAGTGAGAGGAACATAATATATATATATATATATATATATATATATATATATATATATATGTTGCTGTTTTATTTCACATTTAGCGCATTAACTGCGACTGTAATCAGTTGCCCTTATGTTGTTTGCTTTCTGATCCGTCTCACATTTTTTAATATATTGAAATTTTATTTCACACTTATTGCGTGACTGCGATTGTAATCAGTTGCCCTTATGTTGTTTGCTTTCTGATCAGTGCGAATGAGGGTGAAGGGTGAGTTTCAGGGTTGTTGACTGTTTTCCTGTCATTTTCACATGTGATGGTGTTTCATCCTGTTTATGATCAGTCGGCGTCGAGTCCTTTACTTCCTTTACATCTGAAGGATCTTTCTTGTTTGCACCAACATTTGTAATGATGATGTGTTAGCACAAAACTGCTTTCCTACTCCATCCGATCGTGTGCACTTTGTGTTTGTGTACGTCTTCTGTGTGTGCTTGTATATCACACCATCTCATTTGCAAGTATAGTCCTCTTGGCCACAGCTTGCGCAGCTGAACAAGTGATAACTAATGGGGAATTGGAGACTGTGTTGTTGTTTTGTTTTTAATGCTGTGTCTCGTTTCAGTGCTGGGGAGTCAGCTCCACTCTCAATGCGATACCAGCCACAGGATGTGGTGAAAGCTAAAGAAATCATTTCCCATATTAACACTCTAAAGACGCAGGTCAGTTACTACACTGAGCGGCTGTCCCGCGCTGCCAAAGAACGCTCAACCAATGCACTGGAGAGGACTCTTGCTATCCTGACAGAAAAGGTGAGAGGCTTTTGCATGGACCACGTACTGTTTACTGACCGTCTAATGCATATTGCACACAAGAGCAGGCTGAAATTGCCAGTTCCCATCTGATTGGCTGGTTTTACGCAACTTAATAAGGGCACACAGTACGACTCTTAGAAAGATATCGTCTGAGTTTTGCCTGAGATATTTAAACTAGCAATTAAATTAGTTAAACACCTCACACCACAGGAAAATCATATAAAATAATCTGTAGAACCCTCAAGATAATCCGATAATCGGACTTTACCCTAGGATTGTCGGAAGGGGAGAAATCGCCCCCAATATATTGTAGTCTGCGGCGGCCTTTAGAGTGTTATATTTCTATTACTCTATTATTCTCTATTAATTCATTTTCTATTAACTTTAATGTTATATATTATTACTGTATTATTGTGGTATAATATATTTCAGATTAACCCGCCTCTAAATGGCACATAAAACAAAACCAACTTTTGGTTGGTCACTTTATACGTCAATCCTGTCTGGGTGGGTGGCTCTTCTCAAGAGATTTTATAATGTTTAACAGATCTGTAGTTCTTGTGCAGTCAATTATGAATATTTATGAATCATTATTAATCAAATTTCATAAAACCTGTAATGTACATCAATCTTGATTTTATATTTAAGCATTAGTTTGTAAATGTTATGTTTTCACAGATTGTGATGACACATTTCCTCAGTTATAAAGTAACATCATAAATCAATATATATATATATATTTTATTTTTATTTAATGCCAATTTATTTAAAAAATTGTGTTTTGCAAAGTCATAGAAACGCTATTGTGGAATTTTTTTTTTTTTTTTTTTTTTTTTGCTATTGGAGCGAAAGGGAAAGCAAGTAGTAGTTTCATTCAGCATTATAGAAGTTTACGCAACTATGATGACTTCTGCTTCTGAGAACCCCAGAACTATTGTAACTATTATGTAATGTTTCTCGTGCTCAACAGATCTTCCAAGTAAAAGCTTTTGAGATCCACTTAATGAGTAAGTGCCATGTCTGTGCCGTCCTCTCTGTCTCTCTCAGACGCGGCAGCTGGTGACAGTGTGTGACAGTAAGCTGCTAACTACAGCTATCCAGGCACTGAGTGCTGCGCGCCCGGAGTTCATCGCATCCAGAGGCTCTCCGTCCACCCATGACACTGAGCGCGTGGTCCTGAGGAACGATCAAGGCTCTCCACAGGCCAAATGGAGCGGGAAGGGGAACAGAGCATCCATGAATTTAAACTGGCAGGAGGAGGAGTGGGTAAGGTCATTCAGAGACCGACATTATACCTTCGTGATTTGACTTAGAAATAATGCAGAATCTGAAATATGTCCTTTCTCCTTCAGGAAAAGATCTGGCAAAATGTGGATAAGAGTCTGGAGTGTGTGATCCGCTGTGTGGACAGGCTGCTGACGAGAGAACGGTTGCAGAGCGACAGCAGTGAAGACGTCTTCTTGTCTGACCAACAGGCCGACACTAGCAAGAGAGGTAGCCAGGGCAATGCATTCTGGATCAACCCTGGTGACAGGCTCTTCTCCCCTTGCTCCTCCACCGCTCTGACCTCATCACAACCTCTTTCAGATCAGTCCTCTTCACCATCCTCATCACCCTTACTGAACCCTGCATGTCCATCCAGTCCTAACACTCACTCCTGTAGGTTCCACCCTGTTTTAAGTTTTCTTTGAATTCCTTTTCAAATCTGCTCAAATACCACAGATGCTTTCACTTTTACATCCTCTTTTAGTGGCACATGTGATAATGCTGCACTCGGGACATTGATATCGCCAACTTCAAACAATCAAAGTGGAAAAAGAAGTAGTTTTAAAAGAGTACTTATTACATAAATAATATACCTTAAAAGTATAGTTATATAGTTAAGTGGGAACTGAATGTTACGTTTTTAACACTCAATTTCATGCTATTTGGATTTAAATGAAAAGTATTATAGTGTAAATTTATATTAACTGTAATTAGCTGAACTTTAGAGTGCTTTTTTTGAGTAGGGCTTAAGTTGTACGCCTAAATTTACTTGACACGCATTATGGTAAACATATGTAGTTTCTATTTAAACTTGTATCATGTATTTAAATATATTTGTTATTACACATAATGATGAAGTACATTTAAAATATATTAACTTTAAATGTAATATTGAAGTATGCAATGTTAGCATTTGTTCTGCAGGTGCATGATCATCAGCAGAGAGGAACTTTGACTCATTCAAACATTTTATTTTGATTAAAAAATTAGTGTTTGTCTTGTAACTCTTTGGGTGCCACCATATTTGTGTGACATCTGCATCGTCGCAAAATTACGGATTTCTAAATGTGCACTATTTTAAGTAGGAAATTAATTTCCATCATTTTTCCGTGTTGATTGGAATGCAGCATAATGCATGGTTGTTGTTGCTTATATTGGGATATACATGTCTATATATGTCGATGCTAACAAACCAAAAACGACATCACAAGATTCATTCACAGTGTTTGCATAGTGATGGCTTTTTTTCTTCTTTTCTTTTTTTACTGATTAAGGTATTATTAAATGATAATATAAAAATAATTAGTATTACCATAGTTGTCTTTAACGACACTTATTCTCTCTCTATCCTACTTTAGATAGTCCCAGTGTTGAGGGGTCCTCTCCTGGTAAGCCTCTCAATGCAAATCATTTTTACCCTTTGCAACTATATATGTGGGCTGTCCAGTTGTTAGCTGTGTGTTTTATGGCTCTAGGTGAATGGAGTGATGCTCTGTATCCCCTCCTGACCACTCTGAACGAGTGTGTAGCCATGATGAGCGACAAAGCCAAGAAGTCCATGGTGTTTCTACTGATGCAAGACAGCGCTCCCACTATCGCCATGAGTTTGTCACTACAGTACCGCAGAGATGTGGTGTTCTGTCAGACAGTTAGTACAAGATATATTAAATAGATACACAACATCATTTTATTGAGAGTCAGATATAATCCGGCTCACATGAAATGTGCTCCGTAGAAAGTTCCAATTACTTCTATTGAAATGGGACTCCTTTTCATTTATAAAATTCTGTGAAATTAATTCTGTTTAATTGTCAGAGTATCAATAAAAATACATAGTCATTCTGTCAGGACCTGCCCATACTGAATCATATATATTTTCAAATGTATTTTTAAATATTTCAAATTATACCAAAAATGTCCAAATTATATGGCTATATTTACATAATTATATCTTTGATAAGATTTTGTTACTTTATATTTCCTATTTAGTATTTGTCCTATTTATTTTTATATATATTTTTGCATTTACCCAAAATGTTTTTTTTAAGATTGGAAATGTATTTTCCTGCCAATTTTAAGTACATTTTGTGATATTTTGTAATATATTAAACCTTTATATTTAAGGCTTAAACTAAATATATTTTCAATTTGAATAAATATAGCTAAATATATTTAGCATATATTTGATACTGTGGCCAGGCTTTTTTTTTTCTTTTTTTTCTTTTTTTTTGCCAAATGGATGTTTGTCCCGTAATGCATTAGTTTTACCAGGATTGGCAGTGATGGCAACATCATTGCGACTTTCTGGAAAATTCTGGGGGGGAAAAAACTGCATTGTGAGATATAAATTAGAAATTGCAAGAAAAAAAACAGAATTGTGAAATAAAAAGTTGCAATTCCATAAAAAATTGGTTCTACTTTCAGAGTACTCTAAAAAGATAACTTTGGTAATGCAATAATGCTGCATTGCCCAGTGTACAGACATTTCCCCAGCTGACTGTAAATTAGCATTTCATATCCATTCTAATAAAATGCATTTTCCTCTGTAGCTGACGGCATTGATCTGTGGATTTGTGATAAAGCTGAGGAACTGTCTAAGTGACAGTGGCTTCCTCAGACAACTCCACACCATCGGCTTATTGGTCCAGTTTGAGGGTCTCCTGAGCACCTATGGTAAACATACAAGCACATTTCAATTCAGCTTATTTATGTATGGTGGTAAATGTATCTGAATATGTTAACTCAGAGCTCTTCTTTCGTCTCAAAGGGGAGGAACTCTCCATGCTGGAAGACATGAGCGTAGGCGTCATGGACCTTCGGAATGTCACCTTTAAAGTTACACAGGCAACCTCCAGCTTCAGCCCCGACATGCTGCCTGTCATCACGGGCAACAGAGACGGGTTTAACGTGCGTGTTCCGTTACCGGGGGTGATGTTTGATGCGTTGCCACGGGAGATTCAAAATGGGATGCTGTTGCGTGTTCAACCGGTGTTGTTCAATGTAGGAATCAATGAGCAACAAACACTAGCGGAAAAGTAAGTGTAGTGAAATCGACCCGCCTCAGTGTGGAGCCCGAATTGAACAAGTCATGAAATATGAATGTATTCATTCATTGTACATTCTGTATACAAATATTTATACAGCATTGCTATATTTGTTTATATCATTATTAAGGTTTGGAGACACTTCGCTGCAGGAAGTAGTGAATATGGAGAGTCTAGCTCGTCTTACATCCTATTATGACCAGTTTAAAGAAGTGCTGCCTGAAGACTGTGAGTCCTGAACACTCATTTTGAATACACTGACTGACTTGTGAAAAAGTACACTTTAGCATACTTTAAAAAGAGTTCTTGTTACAGATATAAAATACTTTCAAAGAATATACTTAAGAGTGAACTGAATGTAATGATTTCAGACACTTAATCGCATGTTAATTGCAATTAAATTAAAGTGTTTTATAGTTTGAGTGAACCACTCAATTTGTACTTAAATACTTTATATGTAATATGTAGTCTTTGAAATATGGTTAAAGTGAACTGTCGAATGTACTGACAAGCATTTATGGTAAACTAAAATATACCTTAATGTCATTATATTGCATGTCATGTATTTAAATATATTTGTAACTAATTACACATTTGTAATGATGAAGTTGCAATTTAGTACATTTAAAATATATTAACTAGTCTTTTTCACGTCCCTTTATGAAAGAAAGTTAGTAGATGTTTTCTGTCAGTCCTAACAAGTTAATTGTCTCCATCCATAGGTCTCCCCCGCTCTCGCAGTCAAAACTGTGTGCCTGAGCTACTCAAATTCCTCAGTCAAAATGTCAATGCCAGGAAGAGCAAGAATGTGGACATCCTGTTGCAGGCAGCAGAGGTACAGCAATCCACCATTACTATTCTTCTTTAGTGCCTAGAGGTCTGTTCATACCACCAATAATGTTCGGCACAAAAATGCACACAATTTTTCAGACCAATGAGTGAAAAACAGCAGGCGGGTTGAATGAAAATGCAGATTTACTCTCTGACAGTAGATGGCGCTTTTAGAAAAGCAGAAATACTCCAGGTACACAAAGCGCTGCACAACTTTTTTTGTCACCTGCTTGTCACATGTTTTCATGAAAAGAGAGCCAGTTCTGGGCTGCGTCTGAAATCGCATTCTTCCCTATAGTAGACGATAAACAGTATGTTACAAAAAAAGAATGTCCGAATTCACAGTACTCATAAAAGAGTAGGCAAAAAGTACTTCTGGTGAATTTCTGAAGTGTGCATACGATCTGCCTCAGATGTCAAACCCACGGTCCATTGGCTGAACGGCTGATGCATATGGCACACAAAATTGGAAACACGAAGTCGTCCTCTGATTGGTTGAATTTTACAGGATGACTAACGCCACTAAACATGACACGGAACAAAACGAACTGTGATTGGTTGCTTTACAGTCCTTGTCGATCGACAATGTTTTGTGCATTAATTATTTACACCAAATATACGTCTTGGTGTATAAATCTTAAACCTTATTTTTTTGTGTGAAACTCCTCATAAAAAAACAAACACATAAATATGGGGAAATCACAACTTCTAGTGGTAGCCGTTAACGCAATGACATCTTTCTCATTTGTTGCTTCAGGTTTGTCGGCGTCTGAATGGTGTGCGCGTGACCAGCTGCAAGAGTGCAAAGGATCGCACGGCCATGTCGGTGACCCTGGAGCAATGTCATATCCTCCAGCAGGAGCACTGCATGGCCCCGCAGGTCTTCACCCAGGCCTTGGAATGTATGCGCAGGTGAGACCACACTTACAGTTAGGAGTCTTTCATTTACACATCATTCTATCCCTGTCTCTCAATCACCTCTCTGGTCCACAGCGAGGGCTGCCGGCGAGAAAACACCATGAAAAACGTAGGCAGTCGCAAATACGCCTTCAACTCCCTCCAGCTGAAGACTTTCCCTAGGCAGTACAGACCACCAGAGGGCACCTATGGGAAAGTGGAGACTTGAGCTGACAAGCAGTCCGCTGTTCTAGCCCGCTGGGACTAGAGCTGCATGTTTCTCCTTGTTCGCTTTACTTTATTACCACATATCTGATGGAAAAGTTTGATTATGCACAGTCATGCTCTGGTTATCATCCAGATGACAATGTTAATATTTTCAGATCCCCGAACCTCCTCTATGAACCGTGGCTCTGAGAAGAAAGGAGATCACGTGAAGGTATATGAGTAGGTTGTTGCACTGAATGCAGGTAAGAAGGCCTGTTAGATTCTAAATTACTTTTTTTCTTTTAAAAGACCCTGATTTAATTTATCAGAGCAGTTCCCAAATAATCCCAAATTCATTCCATCTGTGTTTAGTTAAGTACATTTTAAATAATTTCCAGCACCACACTTGGTCTTTGTATTAAAATGCAAAGGTTGAAACTATCAGCACTGAAGCAAAGCTGTGTTTTTATCATACTTTAGATTGTATTCAAAGTTCAGTAGGTTATAGGTAATGTGTATGTGCTGTGGTATAGTAGATGATTTGTTCCCAAAGCCAGTTTTAACATTTATAAGGATAAGTCAGGTTAAGTTAGAGAATCAATATATAGACCCCATTGTCAATCATCACTTCATTTCAAGTATACACAAAACTAGCTGCCTTAAGAGAGTCCACCATTGCATTTGTTTAGATAAATATGTAGATATTTCGAAATCTGTGTATGACTATTTGTGACGTGGCAGATTGTTTTATTTATTTACCGTAAGACTCTCTCTTTACGAAAGTGTTAGTGCTTTAATGCAGGCCTTTGCCCTCCTGACTTGCATTGTACGGGTTGTAGAGTTTAAGAGGACAAGCTTCCTCGTACTGTTGCCAAGCACAGCTAGTCTCTGTACAGTGAGCATACAGTGTGAATATACATTCTTTGTAAGGAAATATGTGAGAAGACACTATTGATATGTTCATTGACTGTCTGTATATGTTTTCATAGTTCGAAGTTTCTTTGTTGGACGTTTGTATTGGTTGATAATATGAATGTCCGTACTGATCTAATAAGGAGCACTGCTGCAACTAGTCCTACAATGTGAAGAATATTTCTTGAGGTTTTTTGTTTTCCAAAGCTGAGGGATGCATTTACACTATTTATTTTATTGTAATAGTTATAAGAACACCGTAATGTTGCATTACTGAACATATTAAAAGACTCTATATGTTACCACAGTGAGAAATCATCAGCCTTTGTATCTGAACAAATAAATGCACAAATGGACTGTAAGTTCCTGGTTTGTATATTGCAAGATTGAACTACTGACTGAAAGCTTAAATTTGCAACTTGGGAGACAAGAGCATGTGTCTTTCTTAACCTCTGCTAAAATGATTTAGATTTGAACCAGACGCACTGCATGGAAGGTAGGCTACTAGTGTTATTTCAGATTATACTTAATTGCTATTTTTAATAAATGTATATTTAATTATTTTACCACTTTGATCATTTAATTTATTATGTTTCTTTCTTCACTATTGTAAGTGCAAAAGCACTGCTATGTTGTCAGAGAATGGTGTCCTATTGGTCTTTCAGTGTGTTTTTTATTTTATTTATGTATGTTCAAATACCTTGCTGTACAAAATGCCTCTTTCTTTCCCCAAACATACAGCTTTAAAATTAAAATAACATACCAGCGTAAATGGTAAGCTACTTTATTGCTTTGTTCACAGCTATGTTATATAGACAGACAGACAGATATATATATACAGGGGTTGGACAAGAAACTGAAATGAAACACCTGGTTTTAGACAACAATAATTTATTAGTATGATGTAGACCCTCCTTTTGCAGCAAATACAGCATCAATTTGTCTTGGGAATGACAAGATACATGTCCTTCACAGTGGCCAGGGAATTTGAGCCATTCCTCTTCCAGGACAGTAGCCAGGTCACTGTGATGCTGGTAAAGGAAAAAGGGTTTCTGACTTCGAAACTCCAAAATACTCCAAAGTGGCTCAAAAAATATTTAGATCAGCTGTCCTATTGTTTTGCTAATTCAACCTTCACACTCTGCTCTTATTGATTTAGTGTGAAATCAGTGAAGTGAAGCACATAATATAGGTGTGTGTGTGTGTGTATGTACATTTTATGTTTATCTATAGAATCTATCCGCCATTCTACGTTCATTCTACAGCGTTTTATGCTGCTCCTCCTCTTAGGCCCTTTGTCAGATGTTCACCAAACTTTGTAAATGTCAGCTCTATGCTGGCAAAAATGTATCAAAATAATATGATCTGACATATTTGCTGGGTGTGGCCCATTCTGACTGCTATTTATATATGCACAAAGTCCAAACTTCTCATAACTTTGTATGTATGGAGAACAAGTCATTCTGAGCAAACATGCTTAGTTTCATAAGTTTCACCAGATAAGAAATATCTTATGTCCAATCTTTTTTAAATTTCCACTCTAATAAATGCTTAGAACCAGTTTATTTGTAGAACTATGCACTGGCAATATAGATTTATATAGTTAGTTAATATGTATTTAATAGATCATTAAATGTTAATTTCACTTCTATAATATTAAAAACACATTTGTCACATTGACAGACATGATTAAATATATCTCTGTCCATTTAAAACGAAGAGACAATTTTTTTTCTCCGTTTAAAGATAATATATTTCTATGAAGAGACACTTAGGCCTATTTAGCGTTATGAAAAACAAAGCACTTACGTGCTGAACTTCAAGCATTTAAGTAATCATACAGGCATTCTCATATAACCTGACAACAGCTCAGAAAGCACCTGATAAATATATATTTTTAAAGTGTTCACTTGGTTGTAGTTTTAGTTCTAGAAAACATTGCACATTCGAATTTAAACACAACCGTTCACACAAAAACAGTTTTACGGGTTAGAAGGCAACACATATTCAGAATCGAAATAAATAAGATAAAAATTAAGATACTTCTGTAGCCTATTTACAAATTTTTGAGCTAAAAGTGATATTCACACTCGTTTGAAATTAACCTATGATGATGTGTGTATGTGCTGTAGCCTGTGGAAAAAAATGCATGTTATATGATGTCATCATACTAATTACTGTGAAGAGAAAGATCACTTTCAGCTCAAACATTTGTAAGTAGGCTAGTCTGAAGTATCTTAATTTTTATCTTATTTATTATTATATCTTACGACAGTAATGTATTTTTTACAGAGAGCCCCCAATATATACAGTATATAGGCTATATAATACCGTTATTGCATTGTACCGTTATTGTATTGGATGGATAGGTAACAGCAGGGGCGTAGGAGCAATTTTGAACCTGGGGGGGACAGTAAATGCTAGGGTGGGGGATGCTTTGCATATAAATTTTGTAAAAAAAAAAAAATTTATGGGCTTATTTATTGACTTATGGGAACAGACTGTATTACTTAGTTAGGTTCTAAGCAGTGATTAAATTGGGATTTATTATGTGGGCTCTCCCTAGGGGGGTCCGGGGGTATGCTCCCCCGGGAATTTTTTTTGAAAAATAAACCATTAAATGGCACTTTCTGGAGAGTTTTGTGCAAAGAAATTGAGAAAATGAGTCTTACATGATATGTGAAAAACTGCAAGGTTAAGAGCATATACTTTGCATTGTTGTAGTATCAACAGGTATTAGGACATTTAGCATTTACATTACTGTTAATCAGTCATGTACTGATTAACTAAAAATTAATAACTCAAATAAATGGTTGATTTAATTTCCATTAACCACCTAGCTTACCCCCCAAGGATTGAAAAATAAAATCAATCTATCCTTGTGGAAAGGTTCCTTGGTAGCTAAAAGTAGGTCTAGCAAGTCTTATATTTCTGTAATTTACACAGATCAAAAACAAATATGCTGCCTGAATAGATTGCTAGTTTATTTTGAGTAGCCAGCTAGCAGTTCTCTTGGCAGTTTGCTAATAATCCGGTGTCTGAAGTAAAATGCTCAAAACATCTCCTGAGAAAAATCACATGGCCAACCTAGTCTTGGTTATTTCATTTAGATTTAGTCTTATTTTCCTTACCTTGTCATTCAAGGCCAGGGCACTTTATGTACATTTCTGGAACTTTTGCACGCTTCCACATCCCGCGCAACTAGGATCTCCTAGGAACACTCATTATATATCGCTGCGTACATTTATCCGTTTCACCTAGATGCGCATGCGCGAGCGGTGCGCGATCATGGTCGACTGACAACGAGATTAGCAGCTGAAGAATTCGGCCGTTTTTTAAAATTGAATTATGTATTTAAAAGTTGCCGAATGTATTCATTTGGAGACTCCGAAATCGGCAGAGATAGGCAGGCAATGCAAAACAAAATCTTACATTGGGAAATAGTGGGGGGGACAAAACTTCGATTTTGAAATGTGGGGGGGACATGTCCCCCCCACGTATAATGGCTCCTACGCCCCTGGGTAACAGACATTAGCCTACAGCTAAACACCGTTTCCCGCGCAATCCTCCAAGGGGCGCTCGGCGGCATAGAAAGCCGAATCCCCATTGAACAGCGTTACAAATTACAATACTTTTTTTTCTTATTGGATACAATTGTCTAATAAAAAAAATAAGAATAAATGAAAACTATTATAAAAGTAATATCAACCAGCAATCTCTGGGAAATAATTTTAAACGTTTTATCTTGAAATTGCACACACGTGGTAACTTACAAAACATTCAGTGGCACATGCTAGTCAAATACAGATGTGCCACAAAATGACAACATTTTAGAAAAAAAAAATATTACCGACTTCAATGCGTTTAGTTGACATCTAAAACCTCACTAAATTAGGTTATTTATTTAGTATTTTGTATCACAATTATGCTGGTATAGCTGATCAACGCATCTGTCAGTAAGGTGTCACAACATACGGCGACATGGTCCGCGACTCGGTGTCAGTGTTTCGACATGCACTATCCACTGGCACAAACCAATGAAGACCGGATGTGTTATAAGCATAGCGACATGTGCCATTGGCTTCTGTGCGTCAGATGCCATGTCACTTATGTTGGGGGACTATCGGGACTATGCATGGGCACTATATTTTTTCCGAAATAAGGTCCCATGAGCCGGAAGCGGAGGGGAGGGACTTAGCTCCTCCCTCTCCCTTTGGCATGCGAGCGTGCAGTGTCGGTGTCCGTCTGTCAAAATCTTTGTTTACAGTCTATGATCAAAATAGTCAGAGATGGGGAAGAAACGCA